CGGGGCTGAGGGCTGCAAAGCAGCGTCTTAAACTTTTGAAAAACTTGGGAATTTACATAACTATTCAGTTGGAAAAATTATACCATCAGTTAATGCCCCGAGGATAGCATAGACAAAGATGCTTTTGCTTTTTAACCTCCAAGTGTGTTTGTGAGAGTTTTATGAATAATAAGTGGGTAGGAAAATTCCCAGGCAGCCTCTCTAGTATAGTGTGCATTTGCTGAAAAGTTGTAGATAAGTCAGAGACTGAAGATTAAAAATGTTTGTGTCCAGAGGAGTCATGGAGAGGCAGTTCCTCATAATCTGTTTAATTTGTTCCAGAAAGAATGCATTAAGTCACCCCCTAACATACAAGGATCGAGACAGATTATATAATCAGGAACTGTTCATTATTTGACTGAAGACATTTAGGTATTTGTTTCTAAAGGAAAAAAAAAAAAACAACGATGCTTCTATAGAATCTAAGGGAATCTACTCAGTAAGGCTTCCTTAGGATCGAAGACAGCTGAAGGTGTTTTATGCGGTAGCTGTCTGTTCAGTGTCATATCACACCTTCTTTCTTCTTGGGGCCCGAAGTCAGCCTGAGCATCCCCAAGCAAAATGCTGAAGGGAAGAACTAAATGGCCATGAAGACCCACATGAGCTTAGGGGATCCGTGAAGCTTTTTCCCTATGCAAGTGAAGGAAAATGGGATCCCAGCTGGGTTTCTAGATTAAAATCCTGCAGCAGGAGCTTATTTCAAGGAGGCATATGCAAGAATGACACTATAGATGGTTCTAGAGATCGTAACAGTGAACAAACACACAGACACAGCATTCCTGGGGGGGGGGGGAAGATGGAGGTCTGAGACAGAGGTTTGTGCTCACAGAGCTTTCCAATAGAATCAGGCTGTGTTGTCTCTTCTCTAAGAGCAGCCCTGCCTTTCTCCACTCAATAATAATGGCCGGTATGTCATGGCCGAATCGTAAAAACCCAAATAACAAAAAAGCTTTAGTGTGTTATGAAGTTAAAAACAAAACAAAAACTATCATGAAGCATCTAGATTTTCAACTTTGGTCTTTATCTTTTACCATCTAGGAGACACTGTCATCATCCTTAAATGAAGACTGGTTTTTTTTTCCTGTGAGACAGCTCCCCCAATGCAGGATAAGATAATTAATTATTCAAGAAGACCACCTTTTGTTGAGTAACCAAACATGGATCACGTGTGGCTATTGGACTGGAATCTGTGGCTGTTCTTTAGAGTAATATCAAAGTTGAGACTAACTTCTCAGGATGGCTTAGCTTGCACCACAGAGCTCTGATTGTCTGTAATCGGGGGAAGAGCCACAAGCTCCAAAGAGTAACAGACTTGAAGTTGGATAAAAATCAGAATAATCAAACTGGGAAGAATAAGAAATCTTGATTGTTAAGCACAGAATAATGGTTTCTTTGTGGGTTGAACTGTGTTTCCCTTCATGGCCCTGAACCCTCCGTGCGCATACACCATTTCTCTGAGTATGGTTATAGAGTTGGTAGAGATGCTGAGACAGTAACTGCCAGATCCTTGAAGAAGGTGCCTCGACTCAAACCTAGAACAGACACGACAGAGAAAAAACCAGCAGAGACCAAGAACTAGGCCTACAGGACTCTCATGTGACAACTGAGGGTGCCCTTCAAGTTGGGGAGGAGAGTAACAGAACGTAACCCTTCAGCAGTGCTGACCTAGTGATTTAGAGATGATAATTTAGCAGGCTGTGAACAAGCTGCTGGCCACCTTTTAAAGTTATTATGATTATTTTTAAATTTATCTTATTCTTTTAAGGTAGGGTCTCACTTTGCAGCCCTGGCTTGTCTATGTAGACCAGGCCAGTCTCTTATTTTACCGAGTTTGTCTCAAAGTACTAGGACTACGGACATGTACTACCATACCCAGCAAGATATTCCTCCCCACCCCTGCCCTCTCTCTCTCTCTCTCTCTCTCTCTCTCTCTCTCACACACACACACACACACACTCTCTCTCTCTCTCCCTCTCTCTCTCTCTCTCTCTCTCTCTCTCTCTTTCTGTCTGTCTCTCGCTAAGGTCTCACGTAGCCAGGCTGATATCAAACTCGCCATGGAGTTCTGATTGTCCTGTGTCCTTTTTGAGTGCTGGGAATACAGGTGTCTGTCACCACACTTAGCTTAATGCAATGCTGAGGATAAAACCATTCTTTTAATCTTTTAACACATCTGGTCTTTAAAAATAAGAAAATTGCAGCTGTTTTAGGACCTGAAGCCAATGTAGTATTCATTCTTCCTAAGGGTGGGTTTGAAGAAGCTTGAGAGCACAGCAGATGCAATGTTGCTTTCATGACTCTTCTTTGTACTCCCCCCCTGCCAGTCCTTCTCATAGTGCTGAGAACTGAAGTCCACACCTCACACATGTTAGGTGAGCACTCTACCATGGAGACACACCTTCATCTCGCTTTCATGATGGTTAAGCCAACCTTGCTCACTAATCAAGGAAAAGGGCACAAATAACTATGACTTAACATTATTATATTGATATATATCAATCAAATATATTGATAGTTTCCTTGGTGGAATGAAGAGAGACCCATTTTTCATTGTAGGAGAATGCCAGGTAGTTTATGGGGGAAACGAGCAACGGGAAAATAAAAAGCAAGGTGTAGGAACTGTGCTACTGAATGCTTGCTTGACCCTAAGAGGTCTTTGTTATTTGCTTAGCTAGCTGGGATTCTGAGTCTACTCATTTTTCTTTTATTTGAGTAGGACCTGTGAGGACTGGGCTGCACAATGTAACAATGTATATCAGCCATCACAGCCCTGAGAGCATTCGTAACAAGGGAAATATTAACATTTCCCAAGTTGTGATGCAACATGGGCTCAGCTAATTGCTGCTCTCTGTGGCTGCCCTCCCAACTTGAAGCTGTCCATAACCCAACTATGAAAATCCTGCTTGTCGGCCTCTCGCTCTCTTCCCTCGGGAAGGAAAAATAGCAAATTGCAAGACTCAGCTTGTTAACTGAATTTGCTTTGCTTTTGCGGAACCAAAGGCAAGTGAGATTTCGGAGGCTATTGGTTTGTGGTTAGATTTGTGAAATGACTTCATGCTCCCTCCCAGTTGCCAAGGAAGTTTAACGTAAAGACGGTCAATACTTAAAGGATGGCAACCCGTCCAAAGGCATTTACTCTCTGCCAAATGTCCCTGGAACATGTGAGGCCATGAAGGCTGTTTAGGTGACTTCAGTCAGAGTTCTGCCTCCTCTATGGGCAGGTGTATAAGGGATGTGATCCTTCTCAGCCGGGGACTGTCTTCCTCCTAGTGACTGCTAACTTCCTAACTTGAGGCTCTTTCTGATGCTCGTTCTTGTTCTGGATACCAATAGCTAGTTACCTTGTGCCACACGGTAAATAGAATTGTTGTTGCTAATATCCTGTCATCTATTTCTCTACTACAACTTTACACAATGAGGAAAACTTGCACCTTTGTGTTACAATGATCTCTCCTCTCTAGGACTTCACCTTACTCCCCTGCTGCCCTGCAGACCGTCTCAACAACTTTGCTTGTCAAGATAGATTAAAGATTATGCTACCCCAGGTTGTAACAGGATGTGATTTTAATAGACGAATTAAATTAGGCTAGATTTTTAAAAGGTGACTTTTGAATATATTAATTATTAGTAAAATTTTCCTAGAGTTAGAGCCATATACCAACCCATAGGACAATAAATAGTTTTCTCTCTTGAAAGAACAATGAAGTTTGGTCAGTAATACTTCCTACCAGCTTAAATTACCTGATGGTGTCTCCCAGACTAACAGACTAACAGACAATGTGGCAGTCAGCAAGTGGCCATTGCAAGAGCAAGGGTGAGAATTCCATGTTCTGAGAAAAATTTTAGAGAGGTGTGTAGAATCGTCCTCTAAAGGGGTCCTCTGCAATATGATTTACATTTGGGGGGCGTTGCTAAGTTTCAAAGGCTAAACTTTTGTATAAGGGTGGAATGAGAGATAGATTAAGAAAACAAACTTATACAACCTTTCCCAAAAGAACCCTTTTTTGATAAACAAAACAAAACAAAACAAACCCCCAAAACCCAAAACCAAACAGTTGGATCCAAGAAATCCAAAACCAGGGAACAGTCTTAGGTTTCTTTGTCCCTTCACCTCTCCTTTTCTCCTCTCTTTGTCCTTCCTGGTCTCATCAGGGGACTCTCAGCACACGGCAGAGTGTAATGGATGGGCCGAAACTATCATCTGCGGCTGCCTTGCTGTTTCAGAGGAGTCAGGGTGACAGTAAAGGGGTTAACACGTCAACACCTGGCAGAACTTGGAGATGATTAATGTATTGTAGACCTGGGGCCCTGGACGCCGATGACCACATAGCAAATGCATTCTGCCGGGCTACTGCTCTGACAGAAATCCTTATTCATCCACCTCCAGCTCATGCTTCTGAAATGCCTTGCAGAGAAAGTCATTGTTTATGCATACAAATGATAATGATTAAAGATGATTGTGAATCGTCTTTATTTTGGAAGCTGCATTCTGAATTAGCACTGGCGTCTACTGTTACAAGTCGAATACAAAAGTTCCCTTTGCACGTGAGCTAGGCAGTCATTATCCTTCGGAGCATCTGCGGGGTGTTAACTAAGGCTCTGTTATTAAGAGTTGCTAACACATGTATTCAACAATGTGATTGAGAAATCCAAATTATTGCAAGGTAGATTTGAGGTTTTCATTTTCCCTTTTTCACAAGGTATATTTAAGAGAAAAAAAGGTAGACCATTTAAAAATAAACCAAAGGCTTCAGAAGAATATAGTGCATTCTCCATTTATTATCATAAAAGAGAAAATGGTGTGGAAGAAGCAGAAGCACTGAATGCTGTTTTTCAAATGTCTACAGGGTAACCAGAAAGGGACAAGCCTGGATTGAAGACAGGAACAGGCATCCGTGATGGACTAGGGGAAGGATGGGTAAAACAGAACCTCAGTAACCCAGATATGTTCAAATCCACAGGTCCCCATGGCCGGCATCCTAGCGTACTTAATGAATTGGCCGAAGTCATCACAGAACCGCTAGCTATCATTTTTGAGAGCCCGTGGAGGACTGATGAGGCGCTGGAGACTGGAAAAGGGCATATTTAGAATCTCCTTTCACAAAGGGAACTGGATGGTGACTCTGGAAACACTCACTCATCAGCTTAAATTTTTGCTTGGAAAGTTCTGGAATAACCAACGTAGTAAGCTGAATAACTTACGTGTAGCTAGTAGTAAGGCAGCGATGTGCTGCCCAAGAAAATCCATTGAACTTGGTTTAAAAGGACACTCCATGCGGGACGAAGTTCAATACATCTCTTGGAATTTCTCTCCTTTGCTCTTTGGAGTTTTCATTGTAATAGATGGGGTTGATTAAGACTTGTGGGTAATTACTAATTTTAAGTATACCATACCAAAAAGGTTTCTTACAATAGCCAATTAATTATATCACTTTCAAGTTAGCATCTATCTTAAGAACAGTAACTTTCATTTTATATTTTAACATACAAGTTATTCTACTTTGGCTAGAGCTCTGTTTTTATTAAGTTATGATATGTCGTATAATCCTACATAAACTAGTTTGGTGAAGGAACTCTTACTTTAGGTGCTTCATATAGTGCATTCACATATAAATAGAAGCACAATACTGACAGTTTAAGGAAGAAATTCTTTTCTAACTTTTTAAATTTAATCTGGTGGTGGTATGCTGTTCCATTAGGACTGTCATGTCCTGACATGATATTGAACACATGAGTTGTTTCATTCTTCCTTGCCCGCAGCCCCCCCCCCTTCCCAAGTTGCCTTGTATCATCTCCCCCTCTTCAGTAGGCTCCTAAATCTAGTTTGGGGGTGGGGACATGACCTGTGGCAGTAGGCAAGAGGAGCCTTGTCCATGGACCGGTACTTGAGGAAGACAGAGGGAAATGGGTGGGAGTAAAGAAATTAACATGAATCTGGAGTTTTGGGGTTTGTTTTGTTTTTTCATATCTCACCATTATTCCCTTCGGATGTTGTTAGTTTGATTTTCTGCTAAGAAAATGCAACAGTGAAGATGTGGGCTGATCTTAGATGAGAGAAGTCTATGGGAGATTAAACAATGCCAGCAAGCTGCTGGGGCTGGCAAGTTTAGAGAGCCCCTCAGCTGTCCTGTATTGCGGAATTGTCCCTTCACCACTCAGAAGTACATCAAAGATGCAAGCTTATGTCACTAAAATTATGGACAAGAACAGGAAACCTTTAAAGGCAAGAGATTGGCATTCACCTTGTCTCTAGGAACAGGTAGGCAATTAAGAAGGGATAAGATTTCCAAAAGCATTCATGGCACAGTACTGTTTTTAAAATCTAAAATTTAAACACTTGAGCTGCCTTCAGAGATGAATTTAGCCCTCTGAAAAGCCTTTCTCAAGACTAAATACAGGTGTAAGGAAATTAACTCCCAAGAGCATGTTGTAAGTGGCTCCTTCTATAATATAATCAACTACTTTGTCACCTTTTCAAATAAGCTGGTCTTTAAGCTACCTGTGAGACTGTTTTTTTGAAGAGGTGTGGGTGTCTGCATAGAGCACTGATATGATTTATTGTGATAATGAATTGCTTCCTGGTTGAGACCTCATTTCCAGGTGCCACATCTGTGACAGATTTATTTCACAGATGTCCATTTGCATGCATTTGTTGAACTGCGGCTAGTAAGGACCCAATTTCTGAAAAAAAATCTATTATTTACCCTAGAGGCAATAAGAATAAAATCAACTGCAACCGAAAAGGGTTCTTACATCCTTTCAAGTTTTATTTTCCATTTGAATGATGTCCGACTTCAATTATTGGGCTGAATTTAAATCTTGTCTCGATGCCACAATTGGAATTCGAAATTAACAATAACCTACCTAAATTATGAGTCACAATTTAAGATGGTAGAATAGCCAGTGGGTCTGAAAGGTTTATTGGGTAAAGAGAGGAGAATAAAACTCTATGGATAGAATCAGTGAGAAGAAGCTTGCTGGCTTTTCCTGTGCATTAAATCAAAATGAGGTAAGACAGCATAGCACAGGAACTCTGCCCTTGAATTGTTCTATAGGGACTTATCTTTAGAAAGAGTCAATTTATCAGCATGTCTTTTCCTTTTATCTAAACACTGGTGATTTCATTAATATCTGAATGTGAAAGATGAAAATATGATAACAGCAAGACTCACGTCTTGATATGTCGATTCATAGCCCCTCCCCCCAATTAAGTTGTAAGCGACAGGGTCTTATTTTATAATATTGAGAGGCTTAGAGAATCACAGAAAAATTTCTTCATCTTAAAAACATTTGAGTGTATGAAGAAATCTAACTCATGCAAAATATTGTTTCGTCAAATAGGGCGGCACACATCTGTAATCCCAGCCAAATTCCAAGTTTGAGGCCAGCCTGGGCTATGTAATGAGAATTCTGTCTCAATAAACAAATCAGAACAAAACAGAATAAAATAGATGGGACTATGGAGAAAGCTCAGCTAATCAAGTTTGTGCCATGAAAGCATGAGGACCAATGTTTGAGCCCTAGAAGCTACCACGTGAAAAAGTCAGGTGTAGCCATGTGCACTGGGAAGGACAAGACAACAGACCCCTGAGGCTTGCTGGCTGGTCATTCTAGCCTACTTAGTGAGCCAGTCACAGGCCAATGAGGGCCCTGTGCCAAAACAATCAAAATAGAAAAATCAAAACAAGATGTGCCTGTAGAGGAACACCTGAAGCTGACCCTGGCCTACACATGACTATGTATGTGTACACTCACGCGTGAACACACACACACACACACACACACACACACACACACACACGAAAACACAATTAGGGAGAGAGGAAGAGAAGGAGGGAGGGAGGAAAGAGAGATATTTCTGGACATAAAGAAAATAACAATTTAAGAAAAAAGTAAAGCCTAAAATCTCAGAAGCAAATTTATAGCCATATAAGATTGTAGTTTCTCAGTCCAGAAGATCAAGTATTTTTTTTAGACCAGAAAAGTTTGCATCATGGTTGATAATTTTGAACTACGGGAGGACAGTGAGCATGAGGGTTTCCTTTGAAATTACTCAAATCACAGTTCAAATTCTAGAATTATCCCAGTAGTGCTTTCTTGAGTCAACGCTCCAAGGTGCACAAACTCTACTGTAGCTTGAGGAACCATTGCAAATAACACTGAAACTTAAAGCTTCTTTTCTTTCATCCATAAAATGGCAAAAACAAATATCCCCTCCACTTAAGGGGCTTAGGAGTTCTGCACCTTATATCTATTCTCAGTCCTTGGCTCAGACATGGCATCAGCAAGCACTGACTGTCTCTCTCCCTACCCCTTCCTGAAAAGCAGTTATTTTCTTTATCTCCTTTTATGTGGAAGAGATTACTTAAGACCAACTAGAGAATCAAGTATATATTGACATGTTATGCTGTTGTTCATTAAAAAAGGCCTTTTGCTTTTTTGGGGGGGCTACCCCATGTTATCATACTAGGAATTCAATGAATGATTAGTAGCGGAATGAAGAGAGTTTGATTTAACAATTGCCTAGGGAGATGGCTTAACCAGTGAGATGCTGCCCTTTGAAGCACACAGAGCTGAGTTAGGTCCCAGAATCCTCATTTAGAAAGGACAAGTCTTTGTAATTCATTGCTGGAGAGGTGGAGACCATTGGACCCTTGGAGCTAGCCTGGCCTACTTGATGAGCTCCAGGTCAGTGAGGGACCCTTGTCTTTCTCTCACATGCCCATAACGTAGATAGCATCTGAGCTACAATATCTGAGGTTTTCTTTTGACCTGCACACACACCTCCTGCACTAACACACACACACACACACACACACACACACACACACACACACACACATACACACACACTAGAAAGGGTTCAAATTCATAAAGGCCAGCACTTTTCTCTTCTGGAGAAACTGACTTATGGACACGCATGTAGCTATTTTGTCAGCATTCCTGTTTCTATAACAGCACCAGGTCTATAAATTCAGGGTGTGAATGTGGCATATGTGCAGACTCTTGGTTTCATGGCTGTCTTGCACAGTGAGTGCGAGTGCTTCCCCTCAGTGCTGCATCTGCAGTGGGTCTGGCCAAAGGATTACGCAGATAATGAGGAGCCAGCCAGCTCTTTTGTAAGCTGTGAAGAGGAGCCAGTCATACCAGTGAGCAGAAACAGCATTGACACCAGCCTGTCTGAGTATTTTATCATTTAGAGCCCAAGTGTTATAAACAGTTCCCTTGAGTAGAGGGGTTGAAAAAGAACAGAAAAAAGAAGCTAAAGAAGTTAAAATCTGGGGGAAATGCTCCACTCATATCCAATATGAGTAATATCTAAGTTGTTATAAAAATAGCTTGTCCAGGCAGAAGAACTACTTACTTTCAAGGGTGTAAGGGAATAAGAATAGAACATTGGAGCCAGGGAGATAAAAATGAAGACCCAATCTCCCATCGCCAGTCTTAGTCCCAACCAAGTAGCAAAAATTGGAAAATTTTTGCATGAGATAAGCTGGTAAGTAGAATAAACCCAAGGGGTGTGTACATAGATGCTTTACTAAGTAACACCAGGTTGCTCAGAGCAAAGTTAGGCTTTGGTTTCTAGAACTTTCTGATTTTACTTTTATAATGAGTCTTACCTTAGCTTTGGTTTCTAGAACTTTCTGATTTTACTTTTATAATGAGTCTTACCTTAACTTTGGTTTCTAGAACTTTCTGATTTTACTTTTATAATGAGTCTTACCTTAGCTTTGGTTTCTAGAACTTTCTGATTGTACTTTTATAATGAGTCTTAACCTTAATTATATATTCCTACATCAGATAGTCGACAATGCTGCAGCTTTGTGTTAATTTCTAATGAGATAAAAAACCAGTGGCTTCCTTTCATAAACACTAATCACAGTTGGATATTCTATTAAATGCGAAGGGAGAAAAAAGACAGAGAACTTAGAAAAATGATTTCATTTACCTTTCTCTTTCTACTCGTCAAAATATGTATTTTCTTTTTTAAATTGTCTATGTTCTGGAAATGAACTTTCACATTTTATTGCTGTTGTTAAAGATACCTTTTAGGAAAATAAGTAATAAGTGGTTAAATTGTACAATAAGAGCTATATGCCATGTTTCCCTCTTTCTTTCCTTTATTTTTATTTTATTAACAGTTTTCCTCAAATTTCTTCCTCTGGGCAAAAATCCAATTAGTGAAGTTTTGAACATTTAAACTGGACAGTTTTTATAGAAATATGCTGTATAATGCCTTTAATTAGATGAACTTTTTCTTATTTCAAAAATGAAATACTGTATTGATTCTCAGAAACAAGGTGGCTTGTTGAAGGAGACAGATATTAGACAGTCTGCCAGCCATTGCAGTTGCTGCCCTGTTGGCTGAGCCTGTGATGAGATACAAGTTGGGTTATTAAAGTCATTCACTGAAAAGTTGTCCCCATGTAGAGGTTTGTGTACGGGGCTGGCAAGTCAACATGGGCCTTTCCTGCTGCTCAAGCACAGATTTTCTGATTGAGAGTTACCATTTGGATTTGTAAACATAATGATGAAATAATGTTTTCCCTCTTTCAGTTTTTTTTTTAATGGAGGGAGGGACAGTATGTGGCAAGTCTGTGGCAAGTATAATTGGGATATCCTTGTAAACCATGTCATGTATGCAGCACTGTGATTTGCAAACACATGTCTCCCTTCAATAAATGTCACGGCTTTCGCAGTGGTTCTACCTTGGCCTCTTTTGTAATCTTTTGCATTCTGATGTAGGCAACAGTTTGAGCATTCTTTAAATTGCTAACCTATGAATGTTTATGATGCAATACTACATTGGTGAGGATGGAAAATCGGAGTTCCAACTGCAAAGAAAGTCTCCTACACTACATGTAAAACTACACGGGAGCCTGTTATGTGTGCTTGAATGGATTTGTGTAAAGGTTATATGTGAACCAAGCCACCTTCCCTTCTGTGATTTTGAGCATTTCCAGTGGCTGACCCAGCGGGAATGGTGGGCTGTGCTGCTTGGTTGGAAGGCTTCCTGCAGCAGTTTCTGTGCATGGACATCCGCTGGGGCTCCCACAGCACTGCATCCACTTGAGGACAGTGGTAATTCAACAGCAGATAAGCCATGCCTTAGAGATTATTAGACCCTGAGTCCTGAATTCAGACCCAAACATGATTGATTTGGAGTGTGGCATAATCATTTTATTTGCTTATCATAGTCCTAAAACATTAATTTGAAGTTTGGCAGAAACCCAGACAACAGTGACAGTGCTTTGGGCTATATGTGTTGATAATTTTTAGTTAATCTTTTTGTTTACATTGACTATGAGATGAAAGTAAATTTAAAGTGAAGATATAGTTGGTTTTTCCCAAGACCCCTAATCTTGTTTTTTTTTTCCCCATGTATGTTCCAGCACATATACATAGTGATATGACATTTAAAAACAAAAGGCACATCTTTCTAGAGTGCCCTGAATTTGAACTTCGACCGTCTATTCTTGATTTAGCCTTGGCTCTTGTCCATGTAGTCCCAGGGCCCTCCAGGGACCAGGACCAGGCTATGAAATCCAATATTTCACCTCCACATCTACCTTGAGCTCATAAGAATTTTTAAAAAGTTCATGGTCTTGACAGACAGCATTGAAACACTCTCTCTCTTTTTTTAATTAGAGAGATACGCACAGGCAGCAAAGCTCACCAGTATGAGGTTTTTTAAGAGAATAGATGGTTTATGTCCTTAGTAAAAATCAGTTCACATCAGGCAACTTCTAAAAAGTCTTTCATCTGAATCTGGATAACAAGTGACCCTAGGTTCATCCCAGGCCATCTGGAGCCCCGCTGATAATTTTTGATAATTTAAAAGAGAAATCATAAACAATTTTAAATGAAGAAGTCACTCCTTGCTCCCTCCTAGACTCACCCCTGAGGACTGAACAGATTCATGTCACTATGGATGCTTTTTTGGCCAGCATCTTCTACTTTGAAACACATTCTTGTACCAAAACCAGGATGGCTGTGGAATCTCATCTGCTTCTTGGTTGAGTAATGAGCACTGATTGCAAACTCTGTGTATTCAGTGTGCAGCGTTTCACATTCCTATCCGCTCAACCAATTTCACTCCAACTTCTTTCTGGAAGTTCTTCAATCGACCCAGCAGCATTCGCAAAAATAGCCTTTTGGAATGAAGAGCAAACATTTAATTTTGTCCTAAATCAGAAAGTCAGAATCCAGTCTTGGCTTTCCTAGTGAGTAGTGCTGTCTACGTTGCTTCCTCTTCCACCTTCCAACTCCCATCTGTGAAAGCATTCAGGGAACAGAACAGCCCAATGTACTCTGAGGAAGAGAGGAGGAGACAGTATGTGAGTTACAGCATGTCTATGGGAAGAAATCTCCAAGTGACATCACCTGAAGTCGTTGATGACCTCTGCTGGACCAGGAGCATGTTTGTTCAGCCCTCACTAAGCTCCCTCCAACTTGGTACTTCCTCTGTTCCTGGCATATTGTTTGACACTGTAGAGGCACTTGGTAATGTTCCTGAATGAATGAACTTCTCTCATGCTGAAGGGAACTACCCTCCAAGGTCTGTAAGTTGGTTCCACTAGGGCATTTTCTGTTTTCAAGGAACTTTCAGAACACTGTGGCTTCAGAGTTTGTAGGACAGCATGCCCTTCACCTTCAGACACAGACAACCATACTTTCCGTTGTTAGACATTTGCCTTGCATGGTTTCATTGCTATACAAATCTTCTAGATTTTCTGTTTGCTTTTGTATAAAATCAAATAAAATTTTATGTACTTCATGTATTAAGTAATTGATGAAATCAATAAAAGGACACACTTTTGGAATCGAGATTTTCTTTTCATTGTATTTTTTTCTTTTGAATTGTTAGAGGAATGTCTTCTATTCCTGCAAGTAAAACTAATGAGTAGCTACCTAGTTCTGCAATGAAAGCTGGTCATACTATGGTCAATGAACCTGCCTGTAGCATGTTAGTTATGGTTTCTGCCAGACAAAATATAGACATTTTGAGGGATAAACCTCCTCTTAGCATTATGGACACACTCTGTTTTGTATATAACTAACGTGAAATTTGTGCTCTATGACTTTGTCCCTTTAAGAAATTATTTTTTTCTCCAGTCGGTGGTGGTGCACACCTTTAACTTTGGAGGCAGAGGCAGGTGGAGCTCTGAGTTTGAGGCCAGTTTAGTGTAGAGTGAGTTTCAAGACAGGCTCCAAAGCCACACAGTGAAACCCTGTATCAAAAAACCAAAATTTCTCTAAGGTTACTTCTGCTTTCTACAAACAGAAAGGTAGATATTAAGGAAGAGTTCAGGGTTCTTCCAACCTGGGTTTGAGCCCCTCAGAGCTGCTGATAATTATGATTGCTTTACCCTGAAGGGATCAAGGCACTCTGCAGTACTTATATGTCTGCATTCTTTCCTCCCTCTGATATGCACAGATTACCTGCAAGAAAGGAAAAGACCTCAAGTCTTTAGATTTACAAACCTAGACACAAATCCCAGCAACCCACACTTGTGGGGCCTTGTACAAGTTCCTGAGCCTGTTCTGTCACTTGAAAGTCAGGTTACGCCTTTATAACATCATGTAAGCCAAGCAGTAGAAGATCTTATGTAACATGAGGGGGCCTGCTAGTTGTTGGGGTTTCTGTCCTACCCAGCCCCCCAGCTGTTTAGTCCTAGAGAAAAATCACACATGAAATCTCTATAAGTTATATAGGCTGACTGGCCCTTTAGTTCAGGCTACTTATTTGTTCTTATAGCTTATATTAACCCATTGTTCTGATCTATTTTAGCCACCTGGCTGAGTACCTTTTTCAGTGGGGCAGATCACATCCTGCTGCTTCGGTGATCTGGGTAAGAGTGGGAGGAATCAGCTTCCTCCTTCCCAGAATACTCCAGTTCTCATTGCATCATTTCTACTTTCTGTCTGGTTTTCCCCACCTATACTTCCTGCCTGGCCAATCAGCATCTATTTAAAACATGATTGACAGAATACAGACAATTCTCCTGCACCAGTCTTATGTTGAGGGAAGATCCATCCTTACTATGTAACAGGTAGGCATTTGAAAGCAGAGGTTTGTCTCCTGTCTGTCTGCTTCCAAACTTCCAGCAACCAGTTCCCAAATTACTACACAGAAGCTTATATTAATTGTAAATGTTTGGCTGATATCTCAGGCTTATTATTCACTAGCTCTTACAAAATTGACCAATTTCTATTAATCTATGTATCACCACATGGCTGTAGCTTTACCAGTCCTCTGGCATCTTGTTTCCTGGGTGGCTGGCTCACATCCCCTCGACTCCACCCTACTTCTCTCTGTATTTTTCAGTTTGACTTTCCTGCCTAGCTTTAGGCCAAATCGGCTTTTATTATCAACTAATGAGAGCAGTACATATTCACAGAGTACAGAAGGATTATTCTATAGCAGGCATTGTTTGCAGATAGAAGGGCGGGCATCCTGAAAAAGAAGTTTTTAACTTAATAAATTAGAAATTGTTTCAAAATATATTAGAGAATATACGTATATTCATGAATCAGTTGCAGAACAATGTTAAAAGGACATTTACTACATACCAAGCAATCACACCCATGATATAATTTTCATAAGAGCTTTGTGAAAGTTTTTCATCTATGAGTTATTCCAAATCTATAGTTGAGGAAAGTAAGATAAGGTGAGGTTTTGGTAACTTAATCCAAAGTCTCATAACCAATAACCAAGAATCTGGAATTTGGGTACCAATAGTGTTGCTTTAAGCCTACCTTCTTTACCTTTATTTGTGTACGGAAGTCAAAATTATTGCCAGAATCAATTATAAAAACTATCAAGAAGCCATAAAGAGGAAGCTGGCAAGAGTTATCAGAAAAGAGGGGGTGCATTACATGTGAGAGACTCAAATGAAGA